TTCAAGAGTAAGCAGGAGAAGCAAGACTAAAGCCTATCAAATGCTTTTAATAGCTAACAGAACTGGCAGTTGAACACCTTGACAGCCTAGATATAAGAAAGGAAGAAAGTTAATGTGGAATATTTCAGTTGTTCCTTGTTAAGAAAATTCCTTCTTAAAGGATTTCTCGGCCAAAACAGAGCTTCTAATGTGGCTGTTACTTTAGTTGAAGTGACAGAAGTGTGCATTCCTCCTCTAGCCACGGGCATTATGGCCGTAGTGCTGGATCAAGCCTTTCACTGTAGCTTTTTGGAGTTCATTTTCATATTTATTTGTATTTTTTAACATAGATTTTAGTTATGAAAATTCTTAACACGTGACTTTTTATGATTTCAGATTAAAGCTCACTCATTTTAAATTAATGCAAGACTCAGACATGAATAATTGTTTAAAAACTAACCAGCCAATTAGAAAAAAATAACTTGTGAAAACCTCCAGGTTTTGAATACTGTGACTGATTTTGATACTGAGTAGATATTGTGAACAGTATTTGATTAACAATACTTATCTTGAACTTCTTAAATTGTTTGGCTTAAAAATCAATCCTAAGGATGTATGGCTGATAAAGAGCTACAGAAATCTTTTTAAGTATTATGACTATTTTTACTATTACCATAAACAGTTAAAACTGTTACATTTCCATTTACTGCTTGCAATCCTTTCCCTAAAACTCAGCCTTAAATAGCCCAAGAAATATTTATTGTATCCTCAAGTGAAACTTAAATACCTTTCCTCTTTCACAATTTCTGAATGACCCAGCAAGGGCTCTAGTAAAGCTTTACTGAACCAAGCAGCTAATAGGTATTTAATGTTGTTCTGTAGCCTGAAAGAATCTCAGTAGATTTTTCCCTTTTAATCCCTTTGAATTGCAGGCTCATAAACCTCTCTGATGAGCCTGGCAGTGTTTTCTTAGATCCTGCAGTTGAGACAATGGAGCTGCAGAATCCTTTCACCTCTTGTTGTCAGACAAATCCAAAAGATGGCAAAGCTAGGCAGGCTGTCCTACTTGTGAATTAAAATTTGGTTTTCAAGTTACGGCAGATGACCAGGTCTTCACAATTTTCCCTGGATGTTCAGGAACATGTTTCAGGAAGTACAACTCAGTACCCAGAGTTCTACAGCTTGAGCAGATGCTGCATGTAAGTCAGCCTGCCACATAGTACAGTTCTGGTAACAATACCAGTCTCCAGTAACCTTCTCCTCTGGCAAGGGAGTGAAAACCAGACACCAGCGTACTCCAGAGAGCCGCTGACAAGGGGTCGTGGTTGCAGTACTGGTGCCCATGACATAAGGAAGAGCACAAGGAATGTTAAGTCACTAACCCACTGAAAACCACTAGGTCTGTAGTTGTGCTTGTAAGCTCCCCAAACTCACACTGGGCTGTTCTTAAAAAAGTGGCTAAATCTGTTTCTGCTGTCTTAAGGTATATAGGACTGGGTAGTGTATCTAGCAGATACACTAAAAAAACCTTTGAATTCAATAAAAAACCTTTGAATTCTTACAAGTTTATCCTGCTTGAGTTAGATAAGCCAGTAAATGCAACATACAAAACTGACTGATGAGAGTGGTCACTGGATTATGTTCTGAATTTGGAGACTGACTCAAGTCAAGTGTACTGACTGAAATTTACATCTCTTGAGATAACCAGCAAGACTTTCAGACTAGGAATAACAGTCACAGTTCAGCCTGGGAATTTTCTGAGTGATTAATTTTGCCTTTTTTCTTTTCCCAAAATTACAATTGCAGTAATGAATTAGAAAAGTTTGGTAGATATTATCTTCCCTGGGCTTCATATTGTGCTATGCTTGGAACAGATGAGGGCTGACTTTTTCTCAGGCTTCCTCTTCATTACTTCAACCTGGTGCCAACTTTAGAAGAATAAGGTGGTTGCAATCAGAAGATGATGTTTGGTGGAAACTGGTGTTTGGAAATGATCCATTATCTGATGAGATTAAGGTTGGAGATGTGTAGTTATTCTGGGGTATTATTGGAGGAGATAGGTGTGAAGTTCCTTATTTCTTCTATTCACTCCAGAGCAAAGAGCAAGCATGTACAGGAAGCTGGGAACCATTAAGAATACCCTACAGTCTAGTGATTAGATAGGGCAATCTCTCAAGAACTGAAAGAACATAAAATAATCTGGGCCTCTGACTTCTTCAGCAAGTGCTCAGTAAGTAGTTCTGGAGTAAAAAATACTTTCACTGCCAACCTACTTCTCCTAGAAAGCCACAGTCAACACGATAGAAAGCTTGATGTTATTAAACTATAAAACTTGCTTAAAAACCTCACTGACACAGGAGAAGGAACACCTGCCTTCTCAGTAATAACTCACAGGTACAGGCCAGAACTGACCCTTCTGTGCTGAGAGACTGTTCTTCATAAAAGAACACTTGGACTATCTTCCCCTAAAAGTGTTTTTCATTTACCTTTTGTCAGGAATATATTTTTGCAGGAATCTTGATGGTGTCCTCACATGCAACCTGTTCTCACATGCAACCTGTTCTCACATTTGCTTGGTGCTTATCAGAGGGTTTTATTTTGCTTCTCCTTTCTAAAGGACAATGAGTTGGCTAAAAGAGCTTGTGGTGTCTCCAGCTGTGGGGATATTTAAAATGTGACTGGATTTGGTTCTGGGTGACCTGCTCTAGGACCCTGCTTGTGCAGGAGGGGTTGGTCAGGTGACCTTGAGAGGTCCCTTCTGACCTCAGCCATTCTGTGATTTTGTGAAAAGTACAGGCAAGCAGACACTCACAATTTCCATTTGTGGAATTGTAGTTACTGCCAGGCTTTTGAAAGATGTTTATATCAAAACAGAAGTTTGCCCCTGATTTCCCAGAGCTGGGATGCACAAAAGCACTGCTGTCAGTGCTGTCTTGGTTTCACTAGTACATCTTCACCATTTACTTCTCCTGGCTGCAGTAGGACATTTTCCAGCTTATGCAGAGACACAGAAACTAAAATTTTAGAGAACTGCATTTTTAACATGGTCTTAAGTATGACTCTGGTAGGGACCAGGTTGACTACTAGGCACATAAAATATACCTACTTTGTGAGGAAGCAGACAGGACCCGTATGGTGACAGGCTTGAACATCTGCCATGTTTTCTTTATAGAAAACAATCTGACAAACGAGTGGCCACTACATGCACAGATTTATCTTGAGGATATGTCCTGGAATGAAGGTATGAGAGCCTTACTACTCTTCCTAGTGCCTTCCATTGTCACTACAAATGTTTTCTATTTTTTTTTGCATCTTATACCATCATGTTGACTTATTGGAAGTTCTACTTTTTTTTATATTTTCCACAGATTTAGCTACTCTGTTCTCCATAACAACCTTAATTGGAAGCTAATTTCCTGTGATACTTACTTTGCATTCCTCTATCTCTCTCCCCCACCCCCTCCCTGCTTTCAGTGCCACTTTTCACCTAGCTCTCTTTGTAGCATAATTGAGTATTTAGATTTCCAGATTCTTCCCAAATCTTTCATGCATCTCCTTGCTCTTTTGTGATGATAGTATGCAAGTGTTCTCATGCAGTTTTTTTCATCTGACAGTGTGTTACTTTGCTCCTTTATATTATTCTAGCTTTTATTCTTTAGTTGATTTCTCAATTAATGGCCAATTCTATTTTTTACTCTTTTTAAGCTGTGAGGGCAAAATCCTATTTGCTTTCGTTTCTTCTGTTTCATTTTGTTTCCTGGGTTAGCAGTCTGTTTTGGAACCATCCTTGACCTGTCATACATATGACTAACACCCTTCAAATATTTTCTTTTAGTATCTGCCTGTTTCACTAATGTGTACCTTTTTATTATTTGCTTTTTTAAAGAGACACTAGCCCTGGCTGTTTGGTGTAAGAAAGCCTCACAGTGACTGAAATATTTTAAGAGTACAGTTATTTTTTGACCAACCAATGGTAGCACAGGTACCAATGCTTGCAATCCAGCAGTGGGAGGTCCTTTGTTATTAAAAGCAGCTTTGTGAAGAAAATCTAAAATAAATTCTAGATTCTTCTCAAGCACTAAAGGCTTTTTTGTTTTCTTTTTTGGCAGATGAACAATGTTACACTCTCTCATGTCGATGTGGTGGGAATTACACTGTCTTCAAGAGTGAAACCAAAGATGTATCTTTGGTTTGTTGTGACACATGTTCGCTTGTTATTGAGATCCTTCAGTGATTGTTTCAATCAAGCATATTAAGGCTTACAGACTCTTAAAATGACTGGACAAAGAGGGGACAGAATCTGCTGAAATAATGTAAAAGGAAAGGGGAGACACTGCAAGAACAAGTTCAGTCAGGCTTCAGGAAGGAAATGTGCCCATTTGTTAACAGAACTCTGCAGATATGAAGCTTTTTTTTATCCTTCTGCAGCTAAAGAGCTCATTATTAAAAGCCTCCAGAACAGAACACTAAGTTCTGTACAACTGGAGTATATCTCATCATCGCTGTGACACTTCTTTCCAAAGAACAACGGAGTAGCTTCTTTCAATCTCAGTCTATATCAGCTATACCTTTGGCCCTACCTCTTAGGCTAAATCCTTGTAACAGCTCAGATGACAAAATTCATTGGGAGGTAGATCTGGAAATCCACTGCTACATTTTCCAATCCAATGGTAGCATTCCACAGTCCTTGCTAATGTAAGCAGAGCCTAGGTGTGGCTCTGGATGTGTGACAGCATAATAGTGCACTGTGCCTTTTTCATCCCCTTTTCATAGTTGGTGCTAACCTGGATTTGTAGTAAAACCCAAAACTTTCTAATAAATCCAGACACTTACTGTGAATAGCCAGAGGAGACAGCGTAAGAGGCGTATCATTTGTTGATGACAGCAGTATATCTTTCAAGTTAGATGTAATCTCAGAGACATCTTTGTCAAGTAATACTTGCATTTATTCTAAACAAAAATAGTTCTATTGATTTTTAGTAGAAAATATTATGAAATCTGGCAACAGTCACTTAAATCTTTCAGTCATCAAGAAATCTATTGGCATTGGGACTTGCACGTAGAAATCCAAAATCATTGAGAGGCCATATCTACAAAACAAAATACAGTTACAAGAGATATAAATCACAACTCAAAGTTCAGTATTTTCATTTGTTATTGTTGTAATTGTTGCATAAAGTGCATAATTTTTTAGCTCTTTGGGTGACAGGTTTTGTGAATGTTTCTCACCTGTGTGTTTCTTTTACTATATATCAGGAGGAATCATCATTCCATAGTGGCCAGAGACAAGACTAATTTATACACAGCATGCTTTGCTATGGAGAGCCTCACAAATTACATTATTTTTTTCAGCCTTGGTAATAAATACCTTGCTAGAAAATCTTTCTGATTTCTAGCTTGCAAACCTTTTAAGTTAAAAGACAAAGTATCTATTTTTGATCCATCTAGGAGAATAAAGAATGCGATGAACATTACCTCCCAGTGAAAGTCATTCTGTGGGGTACAGTTGTGTTTTCAAGATGGGCATTTAAACTGCAAACACCAAACCTTGGGAATAAATTCCATAGGCTTATAGGTAAGCTTGTGCTATGCAAATGGGTTGAAAGGGGAGGGAGTGTCTGCCCCCATCAGGGGCTCCTCTCAGAAGGGGACAACTACGTAGAGAAAGGAGCACAAATCATGACCAAGCACAAGTGTCAGAGAATGATGCTTACCAGTACAGAAAAAAACCCTTTCTCTCCAGAAATTATCTATACAGTTATTCATGCTACTGAATGCTCCCAGGAGCATTTTCCTCTCAATATTCACTAATTACATATAAGCTGGCATTGGATGCAAAAAAAAAAAAAAAAGTAGTAGGGAATAAAGGACATTCTTTTACACTTTGTCCTTTATCTCCCTTGACTGCCTGTGTCTCTTCATAACATGTTCCTTCTAAGATGGCACAAGGGGATCAGCAGGCAGAAGGGAAGAGAATGAATGCTCTCTGTGAGTCCAGTCCCATAAAAATCTCACAGCCCCTGCTCAAGATGAAGTGACCTAGACAGAGGAGGGTGATGCACTCACTACCTTGTTCCCAAAGCATGTGTCAGCATAATGTTTCTCTTGCTCTTTTTTTCTTGGAATTTGATCTTAAGGCATAGAGTCACCTTCCAGAAACAGCGACTTACTCTCCAAGTTCATGTACCAGGAAGAGCCTTTGCTGCCTTCTGCGTGGAGTGGAAAAGTAATTTTCTCTGTTTAAAGGAGGGAACACGGTGCCAAGGTTCAGTATTTCAAGCCCCATGACTTGTCCCCAGTGCTGAAGACAAGGACAGAAGAGGCAGAGGCAGTTAAGGATGGGCACAGCAAGATGTAGCATCAGTGTACTCCTAGACCAGGAGTGTGCCCTGCTGGAAGCTCCACAGACTTGACTCTCTTCAGGCCCCTGCACTAAGCTGCCATCAGTTGGGTTGTACCTGAGCCCTCAGGAAGACAGAAGGATGAGTCATTCTCAGGACTTCAAGTTCTGTGCATCTGAGAAAGGCTCAAAGCTGCCTTGTGCAAGTACCTTATAAATACATGTCTTTGGCATGTGCAGTTGGGGGGAGCAGGAGGAACATCTGCTGATCAAGAGAAGTACACAGAGGTAATGTCTCGTCTACGTGTATATTAGCCAGTGAGCTATTTTAAGTTCCACACAAATACATAGAGATACAAACCAACAACAGAAGGACATTTGTGATCTCGGTTAGAAGCAGAGCTATGGAATTGAAGGCTCTTCAGAGGGCCTATGCTGGCTGCAGGCTGGGTGTCAAGCCTTTGTTTGGCCTCAAAGGCAAACAGGACTAAAAAGGGAATAGGAATATCCCATATTACAAATCTAAGCTGATCTGAGTAAAGGCTAGGAAGGAAGATTCTAAGGCCATTCACTATGGCACAGATCTCATCTCAGGCAACTACAGGACTGTATTGCAACTTGATTTTCTTCCAGAAGTAATCAAATTTCTTTTAAATATTGTTTTGGCAGTTTAGTTTCAAATTCATCACAGTAATCTTAGTGGTAGTGTTAGAATGAAAATGATGCTTTATCAAGTCTGCGTGCAGGAGAGAATTTGAGACAAAACACTCATGGTTGGAAAGGAGATGGAACAAGCCTTCTCTGTAAAACAAAGACATGCCACTGTGAGCAGTAATTCCCAGGTCTTTTAAAGTTATGACAGAAGTTGCTGTGACTTGTTCGTTCAAACTGGCTAGACCAATTAGCAGCTATTTCCCCCTGCCCTTTTTGGTTTGGCCTAGATTTGAGCTGATGGGTAGGGGATAAATGGGGCTAACTAGCTCTTTTGAAGAAACTACAGGTCTATTTTTGACATAGAGCCTAAGTGCAGGGAATGCACAGGATGTCCTATCTCAGACAGGATGAAGCATGAATTCTGTCCAAGTGGGACTCCCTAGGCTTTTACTGAATTTGCATCCACTTTGATTTCAGTGGCCCTTTTATGGAATGAACTTGTCTCAGAGAGGCAGCTGATACAGTGGCAGGGAGGGAAAGGGGCAAATATAATCAAATATTGTAATTCCTGTATGGGTTAAAAACTGGTGCACAAACATTGACTTCACAGATAAGCTACAGAGAACTAACATTCATGTTTTGCCAAGAACAGTCTTCCTGAACAAGCATGGTACAAGCTCACTCTCTTCTGTTGAAATCCATTACTTCCAAATTAGATTTGATTTTTTGCATCCATTACTAAAAATGGAACCTGGCACTCAAAGCCACGGTTACATCTGTTTCTCCAAAATCCACTTGAAGGTAAAGCCACATAAGCTTCCATTCACAAGGCAGTAAAAGATTTTTCATGAAAGAGAAGCCAAAAAGCATACATAGGTTTCTTGGCCAGTGGTCTACTAAGTAGCTAACACCACACCACCACCAAAACTAGTTGTATTCTGCTGCCTTTCACTGTAATGTTCAACAGCAAAAGACAACAGCAAGATCACTGTATTCTGAAGGGAATTACAATAAATATCCCAAACTACACTGACTCATTTAAAGAATGAAGTCGTGTTTGCTTTTGTTAGGCACGCTATACTTAAATCTCTTTAAAATGTTAAGAATGACGACTCTGTGCACCATTGTAAAAGACTGGTGAGAAATTTGGTTCAGTAATCTGATGAAGTATCAAGTGGCTGCTTACTATCTTTTTAAACAAACAATATTGTGGAGTCCTGAAGTATTTCTTCAGGATGTGATAGCTGTAAGCTCCATTCGTTTTACAGAGTTTACTGCTTGCTAAATTGTCTTCAGTCCTATCAGTCACTTCATTGAAGTCTCTTGAATATCTTCCTTGTTGGGGTGCAAGAGGGACACAAATTAATTGCTGTGAATAATTATGGCTCTCCACATACATAGGTTCTTAATACATGCATTATTTGCTATCAGGCCCTTGAGGTAGTAAGCAGCAGTTTTTCTATACTCTTTGGAGAAGGTTTTTTTTAATTTTAATTAGTAGTTGGATTATTAATACCACATTGTTATTAAGAGGGCTTTTGGCATACCAGCATCATCTGTATTTTAGCAGTTAATAATCCAAATTAAAATGGGTCATAAAAATAGCCCTATTTAGAATCAGCATTTTCCCCTCTGGTGTACACGGCAAGGCAGACAACACGGAGAAGGGAGCACCCCGTGAATACAAGGGAGGGACTCAGTAAATGTTACCCAGAAAGAACAGAGGTCAGACAAAACTTGGTGGGGGGCTGAGGGGGACATGTTATCTGAGGTTTAGTAATTAGTGATTATGGCCAAGAGCTGCAAGGTTTTTTGAAAAGTCCTACGTTGTGTTCTTAAAAACCATAAATTAGGTGTAGAAAACTTGGTTAAATGGGAAAGATCTAATATTCCCCGTGCCTGTAATGCAGCTGTGCTCAATTATGGGTTTGTGGATGTGTTGCTGTATATAGAGAAGGGTTTTCAAACCCTTTTTTTACTGTTCTGAATGGCATCATTTTAAATCTAGCTTTCTAAAAGCTGGTCCATAAGCCTATAATACATACTCCCTTGTTTCTTAGATGGAACTTTACAGAGAGCAAATTGTGTTAGTTTCCTCTTTTTGGTAAATGACTAAATGTACATTATTAAAGTAATGTAGTGTGAAATAAAGCTGTGGAATTGTTAAGACAGAAGAAGGAACCATGGAGGTTTACAAAATACAATATTAATTCAACTATTTTTTTACAATAAAAATGTGGTGTACAATTATGGTGGCACGGATTTGACTTTTCTGTCACAGACTTACTTTAAAAAACATCAAGGCCAGTCTACGTGTCTAATGTATGCATGCAAGTCCTAGAAGGATAACCTTCTCTTTCATTTTTTTTGAACTATGGAAACACTTCTCAAATTACAACAACAGTGGAATATGGAGCTGCCCTTTTCTACCATTTTTGCAGAGGCAAAATTTGCATTAAGGATGGAATGTATACCCATGCAGTATGGTGTATCTCTCTGTATGTTTGTGGGTTTAGAAGGTTTGGATTTGCTTGCAAAATAGTTAATTTAGCGTTCTGAGGCAGTGACTGCTCAAGGACTGCTGCTCAAAAAACAAGTTCTCCCATAAAAACATAAAAAACCCCACTGATGTTGAATTATCCTTTCACCAGAAAGTCGCTGTGTTCAAGCTTTCCTTTGCATTTGCTTTGGCCATATGGCTCAGGAGACAAGTTTTTACATAGCAGCCAGACATTAAAAATTTATTAATCCAATTATTTTTAGATAATACATCTATATATACCTTAAAACAAATGCGTCCCCTTATCAGTCCATAAGGAACAGGTCCATAGCACCTGGAATCTGTAGAATTCCTGAGATTATCACCTTCTAGCCAGACATGTCCTTTAGGTACCTGCGATGAAGCAAGATTGAAATAGAAGGATAAAATAGAATGAAATGGCACTAAGCATAGTTTGCCTTAGAGTATATGTTCTGATTTCTGTGTTCTGTATTTCATGACTGTATAATGAACTAATTTTTCATTGAATCTAGTAAGAGACAGTGCCAGATTGGAGGGATGAGGAGGAGAGCTCCAAAGTATCTGTTCTATCATGTGCTCAAAACCAATGGTTTGCAACAAAAAATCCAAAATGAAGATGTAAGGAGGTTAGACCAATGTGACAGGGTCATTAATTTAATAGACTTCAAAAGAGGTCATTAGGATGTTGACTGAAAATCTGCCCTCCTGTCGCAGTAACAGCATGAACAGGGCAGCCACACACTCATCAACATCCTGGGGCCAGCACCAAGGCTAGACCTGTTAGTAGATTCATGATGAACTAACTGGTAATTGATTGTGACATCAATTACGAATAATCTCATCATTTTATCGGAGTAGGCTTGTCAAAGTTCTAATTAAGATCACAGTTCATTCTATGTGCAGGCAGAATCCACAACACATTATACTGCAATAATGATGACCACAAAACAGCAAATCCCTTTTTATAATTTGAAAATTAATGATGGTGACCTTATACTATATGACAAAGACCTTTCATTGCCTATATATATTATGCATTAACTATATTACATACCATAGATTCATGGCATTCACTGACTCAATGACAAAATGAGAAATAGCAATGTAGCCGTATTAGTTACCTAAATTAGAGTGTGAAGCTCTTATATATGGAAAAGGATGCTACTATAAGTCTTAAAACTGATTTCCATTTAGAATATGCAACATTCTTTTGATATGTTTTAAAAAGATTATTATTTTTCTAATCTGTTGGTTTTGTTTCTAAACTTCTAAATCAGACCGAAAATTTAAAAGAAGCAACACATTCTCAAACTAATACTTAACATGTGCTTCAAGTTAACATACATTTTTCCAAAACCAAATCTATACCCGAAACATTACTTTTCCCACAATTTGGAGAAAAAAATACACAGAAACAACATTAAAACCAAACCATTTAAAATGAAACTCAAAGTTTGAGTTATATAAACATGAATGTTTTAGAAATAAGCCACGCAAACCCATAAATACAGTAGTGTACATATACAGAATTCAAGGATAACAGACTAAACAAAATAAAATACCCCTCTGGTAGTCAAGGCTGGATGTAAGCTGTTAAGAACCAAAGCAGGTGCCCCAGATGAACATTTGAGGAAAATGCAGTTGGAGTGAAGCTGTTGGTATTTACACGTACTGGCCAGGTACCACTTTTTGGGACCTTTAAATAAGCCTTCCAGGCTCCTGCTTAGTCACACTGCTGCCTGCCTGTTGCCAGAGCAGGCTCTGAGGACAGCATGCTACCCCAGGGTCCCTTTGTCGAGCTGTGCCACATGTATAAGCCATCAGTTAAGAACCATCACTTTGTCTCTGGCAGTGGCAAAAAGATACAAGGCAAAGCATACGTGAGTGTGTCCCTCTTCACAGGCCACCCCCTTGTATTTCTCTGGTACCCAGGATAAGTGCTTTAGGTGTGCCAGGGGGCACATGCCCCTGCCTCATCATTTTAAAGTCTATATGTGGAGCTGTAGAGCAGCAGGATGTCCAAACCCTTTTGAAACCTACTGATGACACTCTCCTTCCACAGTCTCCTGTGTAAAGGAATGCCACCTTGGTTGTTTAAAACTCATATGCTAGTTCTGTCAAGGTCCTTTACATCTTGTTCTCCCAGCCCTTCAGTACAGAACTCCATAGTCAGCTTCTCTGCCACCTTAGTTATTTTGTAGGCTTATCAGACTGCAGACAGGTGCACAGAGGAGCTTTCTCTGGGAAGGTCAGTTGTCTTCTGCTAGATGACTTTGGCTCTCTTCCTCCCCAAGCACTCCTTTGCTGTGTACCCATCTAAAGCATTCTCTGTGTCTGCATCTTGCACAAGTTTGGTTTTCAGTGCAATATTCTGATCTTTCTGATGCAAACTCACCCATCCAGCATCTACCAGAATTGCAAATCATACATCAAACTACTGTCATTTGGAAAGCCTGTCTCAGCAAACGCACAAAATGGAAAAGCATGAATTTCTATGAAAGGAAGATTCTTTTAATGACACAAAAAAGCAAACCCACATTTCTGAAAAAGCATCTCTTGCAGTGTGCTGCTGTTTCAGACACAGCACACTACCAGCTCCCCTTCTTTACTTGTTCCCACACTATCTGCCATTCATAGGCAGAATATGAAGCTCATCTGTTACTATGTGAAACACAAACCCACTGACAACACAAGTATATCTAAACACTTCTGGACCTTCCCATCTTTCTTCTGTGCTTCAAAAGTATAAAAAGTAGAATAAAGTGCTTTTGCCAGCTCTGGTATATCACTTACTGTGTCTAATACTGCTGCTAATTACTTGTCCAGACCAGATGTTCACAGTTTGCATTAAAGTATATTTGTAGTAAAGTATATTCCTGTATCCTGAAATTCACTGCTTATGGTAACTTGTATAGTTCTCCATGGAAGGTATGACAGGACCTCTAAATTTGTCATTAAGAGTACTGTCACAATGTATGATTCATCTAGAGATAATACAGTATAATACCTTTGTATGGTGCCTGTCCATCATCTAGGCACTTCACTACAACCTAGAATTAAGACAAGCAATAAAAAAACCACATGAATTACATGAAAAGGTAAAACCAAATACCAGTGACAGGCTGTAATCATTAATTAAAAAAAAAAAGTTGTTTACACCCTTTTGAAATAAAGGCTAAAGCCAGAATCCTTCAAGGGTTTATGCACCACGCTATTTCTAGACAGCATCACTGATTTCAGTGGGATTACTCACACTGAATAAAGTTAACTTTGAGTATGAACCTCTGCAGAATTGGGACCCAATCTGGAACGCCTCAAAGCTATGCAAGCACAGTAGCTGGGGATAAGATGCAATTTTAACACAAAAAAACCCCACCAAACACCAAAACCAAAAACACCCAGCCAAAACTTGAAAACATGTATTTGTAGTAAGATTGTAATTGCACACAATAGACTGCTACTGCCAAAAACCCCAAGCAATGGGAAAGACACTTCCTTGACAATTCACAACCTTGATTTTTGGTTTCTACAGCCCATGGAACTCTTACACAAAATTAATTGTATTTAAGAAGTACACGGGTACTGTTACTACACACAGAAAGGCTGAATCCAAAAAGTACTGACAGGAGTGCCCAAAGCATTTAACTTAGGCTGGGCAGCACTTCAGTTCTCCCTTACACCTGGGCCAGAACTAAGATCTGAACTTCTCATGAGTCCAACAACTGAATTTTCACGTAACTAACGAGTGGGTGACATGCAAATGCTGCAACTCCACAGCAGTGGAGGCTCACGTGGAAACACGCTGCCTCCGACTGTGGGTCCGCCCGCAGACCACTCTTTGCCTCGGCGACCCCTCTGCCTCTGGTTTTGTGCAGGTTATCTACTGCCAAGGAACGGTAGTTCTCGGGCAGAACCGGTTCTCTGAGCTGCAGCCTATCTGCATGAGAATACGGGACACTGATCAGGCACATGACTCTTCCCCCCTCCCTTCCAAGGCTCCACTACAGGAGCAGCTAGACTGAAAGAGCAAGGTTATCACTTAGAACAACTGAGCTTGTGGCAGTAGCTTGTTCTGTTTCAGCTCAGACAAATGCACATCTTTTCACTGTGACAAACTGGCTAAATGGGCAGGGCTATTGTAATTTACTTAGTGGCACAGTTAAAGTGGCAAAACTGAACTATGGGGCAGGTATTTCATGCATACTTCCTAGCATAAAACATTCACTTAGATAAATGGATGGGGTGGGGGGAATCAACAGAGATTTCTTTTTTGTCTTTTTACATGAGGCCAAACTTTGTTCTTTGATTAATCTCACTGACTTCAAGAGATGAGATGCCTGTGCTGCTTTAACTGGCATACTAGAGAATTAATGTACTGCAAATAAGATTAACAGATTAAATTATCTACGTCCAAAATCCTCCCAAACACAACTAAATGAAAACAGACTTTCATCATTTAGGCTGGTGGTTTTGTTTTGCCGAGGTTTGGGGTTTTTTTTTGGTTTGTGGTTTTGAGGGACTTTGGGAGGGAGGTACTGAAGATGGAGAAACAGGGAGTTTTAGTGAGTGGAGAATTATAAAGATGAATCTGTTGCAGTCTTTCCCCTAGGAATTCCAGTCTGTGTCTGTCAAAGAACATCAGCACATACAGTCAGCTGGGAGTAGATGAAGTATGAACTTTCGTAAGGTCACAGGTATTCACATCACCTCCAGCAATATCAAAGTTTCAAACTTAAGAAGAACTTTAAAACATTCCCACCTTTTCTTTTCAGTTCAGAGGCTTCCTTCTTGAGCTATGATAAGAACTAATCTCAGTGCTGGACAAAAGAATAAAGTCTGCAGGTTCTCATCTGTCCCTACTAAGGTCTATTTAAGTGCCTCCTACTTTGGTACAAGCAACAAATGTAATTGCTTCATGGCCTGCGGGTGTTCATTTAACAAAAGAAGCTTTTGTGAATAAACCACAGGTGTTACCTTTCTTGATTAAAGTGAAATATGATGAAAGAATCTACAATATCAAATGACAAATTTACTAAATACTGATTAAATTGCCTTATTTAAGTAAATTGCATCTAGTTAGGATAAAATATACACCACAGAAATGTGGGAATTTGTTTTACCACTTTGTACTTAAAGTCTCACATAACTATTCCTTAATCCTTTATTTATTAATTCAGAACCAAGACTTAATAATGCTTAACATATACTCTTTTTTAATGATCCAGTTGCTCTAGGCACCATTTCTGTAGGTTTATCATAAATATTGTTCATATTAAGGCTGCCATCTATACAAAACCCAACAACATTAATTAGCTCAGTATTTTCAAAAGCAGCATAAGCATTTCCATTTCATTTTTTGTGCTGGAAAAAGCTATGAAATGGTAGCAACTACCGTGGAACTTTTACCAGTATAGCAGCTCTTAAATCAACAACTTCTAAGTATCACTAGAAGGCTGGATTATCTGGAAATTAATACTTCTTGAAAGAATATTGCAGGATGAATTTACCTTAAATTCATAGGTACTTCCAAACAGTTTAGCATTTTCCTTTTTCTTATTGAACAGTTTAAGCTGCTTGTGAACAAGACATAATGTACTTTGCCCAGTTTGTTTAAATACATGTATTAAAAAGAATGTATTATGACCTCAGTTCAGATTATTATGAGAAAAGATGGCAATGAAACACAAACAGGTTTTTGTACATAAATTAAATTCACTGTGATGAAATATTTATATTATGAATTCATTCTCTATATTAAGTAATTTATTGTTCTAATAGAAAATGTATAAAAAGGTAAGATATGAAGACTCATCTATTTTTAAGTTTTGAAGTTAATTCTTAACCAATATTAAAAATCACATAACCTTCAATGGTAGCAGTGTTAAGTCATGTACTACAAGGAAACTAAGGTATATTAACTTAGATTTGAATTTGTAAGACATTTTTCTCTATCGTGCATACCAGATGACCGTCGTTCTTTAATAAAAATTTGGGGAAGCAGCTGCAGTAATCTGTCAAAGCATTCATTGGTTATTTGAATGTTTGGGGGTTTAACCCTTGTTTCTCCTTCAAAACTGTGTCACATACAAATAGCTACTGCTGTTCCTGAGCTTCCTCACTTGGAACTTAAAATCTCTGATCACGGCACTCACTGCTCTGTGGGAAAGCTCACAGGACTTTCACATCAGAAATATCTGTTCCAGTCAAATGACAAAAAGATAGGCTTTCTCCCAGTATCACTCTTTGGCTGTTGCAGAAGTTTCCAACTCTGTTAACTAATAATTCAAACACTTGCATGCATTGTTTACTTCTATAAATAGTCTCATTTAATATTCAGCTATAGAGCATATTTTTAAATATGGTGATCTAAATCAGGCTGAAAAGCTATATATCCAATTTTTAAAATCTCTAGCTGCAACCTTAAATTTAAATTATTGACCATCATTCCTTTTCTAAAAATATTACGTTAAAATTAAATCTAACTTAAAATTAATAGAATTAAGAAAAACTGTGAGCAAATATAACTGCCATGAAGAACACTGAGAAAATTTTGCAAACTTTTTACAACCTGTCTTTTCACATTACAACTATTCTCTTTTGAAAACAAAATCACTTTGAAATAGTGAAAAATTATCTAAGGTTTTTAAACCCCTGCAGTTTTGAAATGTTCATATTTTGTAGTACTTCACAGATGTTCAGAGGCCAAAATGTTCAAAACCAGATCTCCTAGCTACATTTAGGGAACCCTGAAAAAACATTCAGACTATTTCTGTGATTCATAAGTCCAAACTATAATTAGCTTTCTTGATTTATAAAAGATCACTATTTTGGAAGAAAAGATTAATTACAAATCCAGCAAAGATTACTTAGCAGTTTGCACAGACATCTCTCACAGTGGTCATTAGGAAGGATTTGATTCTTTTCTTCTCCAGAAAGCAGGTGATGTAACAGGGTCACCCTAAAACATAGGTTTGAGAACAAAAAAACCTACAGGCTCAAACCCCAACTGGAACTTACTGGTTAAAACACAAAATCCAGTACCATCACTGGTATGCCCTGGACAAAGGCATATCTGTACAGAGTGATCTAGATAATAAGCCTGGTAGCAACAATGGCCAATAAATACTCTGAGCGGGGTTAAGGAATCTTGAGTGCATCATCTGCCAGCTCCATCAGGAGTCACCTGAATCTCTGCTATCAGTCTACAGCCTCAACCCTGCATGATCTCATCATTTAAAAAGAGAAAAAAAAAATTAAATAGGTCCTTCATTCAGATATGAGGCTGATACAAACTAAAATTTCTGCTAAAAATCTTCAGTGAGTCCTGAGCAGGAAAAGCATCCAGAGGAAAAGCATCTAGTGCTATAAATTCAGAAATGTGTGATCTTGAAACAACTTTCTTTCAAGAAGTGCTCTCCCCCAGCCTGGTGTAGCTGGCCTGCACTTCATACCAGCTGATAGGGTGCAGCCACCTCATCTTGGTTCAGACTGTGGAGAAGAGAGCTGTTTGAGCAAGATATGTGAGAGACCTTACATATAAGGGAGTGGGAGCTCACTTCAGGAGCTGTGTTTGAGCTGAGCTGCTGTCCTGTGCTGAGCTATGGTGCAGGCATGCCCATGTCTGGCCACCCACCTCCCTGACCCCACAGGCAGGAGCATAAGCTATGGTGGATGATACCAGTGCTGTTACGTCAGGTCATGCCACTCCTATGTTCTTGAAGCATCAAAAAACTAAACTGCAAAGGTAATTAGACCAATCAACTCGAGCACAGGAAAGCCTGGAAATAATGGGAAGTAGACTGCTAATGTTCTTTGTGTTTCTCTTCCCCTGAATAACTTAATTCTGGCAAGTCTGAGTTTTGATTTCAAATTACTTCTCAGAATACTCAAGATTAGTTCTAGTCATGAACTAGATTTAGATGGATCTGCAAACTGAAAAAAACTCTGCAAACTAAACAAATTTACCAAATCAGTATTCCTTTCCTACCAGACATTTAACATCCCTGCTGCTTAAAATTCTGGCATAACTTTCAAGCCTCCAGAACACCAGAGCTAAGGAGAAGAAGAAAAAGTACAGTACTTCCTTCCTCCTGACCAGCAGCTACTAAAACTTAGGTTACTGAAATATTAAACCATGACTGTAAACTAGCTATTAAGATACCAAGGAAAAAGAACTAGTGTTTTGAGAACTTTATTTTTAAATGTTATGATATTTTCAAGAGACTGTCCAATGGTATTGAGCATTCTGAAACATCAAACCATTTTTCTGTCTTACGTCGTGCATCCAAAATCTGTAGCACTGTCTATAGTGATGAAGATTATTGTGTAGTACCCACATAATATTCTTACTGCATTTGACAAGGACTGTTTAAGAGTTAACAGCACTGCGCAGGACCACTTCTCTGGTCTGCAAACACAGTAAGATGCATTATCTTTGGAATGATGTTAGCTCTAGGGTTAACCACAGGATGGAGAGAAGCCATCTCCGCAATGAACCTCGTTTCAGCGCAAGGTAAACACACTTCCCCCACCTCAGCTAGTCTCACAGCATTAGTGCCGTGTCGTGATTGATTACCTGCAGTGTTGCTGAGATATGGATTTGTATCTCAGCTTTTTATCACTATGACTTGCAAAAGGCAGTTCCTTATTTACAGACTCGAGCTGTATTAAGTGACATTATTAGGTACTACTTTTGTTTAAGTGACATAAAGGCTTAGCATATTGGTGGTTTATGACATAAAACCTGCTTTAATCTGATGACTTACCCCTCACTTTTTCAGTTTGTAAATAGGAGCTGCAGCATAAGAACATATGGTACTAAAGAAATTAAAGCTAAAGTAAATGGCATTAAAGCAAATTCAAATGTAACAATAGGATACTCAGTCTGAATGATAAACCTGGATCTGTATTAAGACTTTTAAAAACAGGACATAAAATCCTAAAGATGAAAATTAACCTTTCAGGTGATTTT